ATTAATAATAATAATATTATATATATATATATATATATATATATATATATATTTTCCCCTCTCTATTATGATTTGATTAAATCTAGAAAATATTTTTATTATACACATCTATATTTTTGTTTGTTTATTTTCTTTTTTATAAGTAGTATGTGACTTTAATATACTTATATTATATAAAAATTGGTGCAGTATTCAGCCCTGATCCATCGGAATTGTAAATACATACATATTGCTAATTTTTTATTAAATTATAGAAAATTTCTATTTTATTAATATATGTATATTATTCTTCTCCTTATACTTTTCAATTTACTGAATATAATGTAATTTATATAATTAATTTCTTTTAATTAATTTTCTTGCATAATTAATTTATTTTTTAATTTTCATAATATGTGATTTATATTTTCATTTTAGTATTAATTTTTATTCTTATTTTATAAATAATTTTTTTATTTTATATTAACTATTTATAATTTTTTTTTTTATTTATTAAAATAAATACATAAAATTTTTTGTTTTATTTTTATATTTTTAATAAATTTTAATATTATATTATTTTTTTGTTTTCTGTTTATAGTAAAATTTACATATTATAATCTAAAATAAATAATATTTTATTAATTTTGTTTTTTTTTGTATGTATTTAATATTTAATTTTATGTTTTATCTAATTATAAAATATTTTTGTAAATAAATACTAATTATTTAATTTGTTATAAATTTTTATATTTTTTCATGAATAAAAATCAAACATTTTTAAATGATAATATAAACTATTTTTCTTTTTTATAATATATTATTATTTTTAAATTATTATATCATATTTTATTATCCAGCATTTATTTTCTTTTTTTATTCATTTTCCAATATTTAGTACTTTAATTTTAAATTTTTTAATTTCTGTTTATTTTTATTCATTCTTTGTTCTTAAAGATTTAAAGCTAATTCTTTCCTTTCTAATGATCTTTTGCCTCTATAAGATATAATTCTATCTTTTTCCTCTTTTGAAATTTTTAACGATCCTCTTTTCACATTCTTATTTCCGAATAACCTTATAATAAATTCTTTAGTAACAATTCTTTTTAAAATAATAATTAAAATTTATTAAAGAAATATAATTAATTTTTTTTGAAGATTATATAAATATATAATATACTCAGGAAGCATTATATTTCTTTTTATTTACAGCTCAATATGAACTTTAAATAATTTATTTTGATGATCAATATTAAATAACATTTAAACAGCAAATTATTTATCATAAGGAGTTATCTAGTTAAAAGGGAGTAATTTTTAATTTTTTCCTACAACCTATTATTTATTATTATTTCTGGAATAGATGATTTTCTAGAAATATTAGAAATATTTATAGCAAATTTCATATCTTTTGTAAATATGAAAAAACTATCATAATTTTATATTTCTGTGAATAATTTTTCATTTCAAGCCTTACTTTAAACGATTTTAAAAAATACCAATATATTTTAAATCTTCATAAATAGTTTTTTTATTGCCATAATATGCGTTAGCAACATCAATATTAACAGAAATCATTTTTAATTAAGTATTTTTTATTTTAATATTTTATTTTTTTATATAGTTAGTTTAAAAATTCGATAAACAAAATAAATTAAATGTTAGGAAGATATATTTTATTTTAAAATGTGAATAAATAAATAAATAAATAAAATTAATTTTATAGATTTAAAAATAAATTCTTTTTTTTTATATTATTATTTAATAAAAATATAATTATATAAATAAATATGTAAAAAAATGATATATTATTTTAATTGATAAAAGAAAAAAAATATATATTTATTAAATTAATATATAGTTAGTTAAAAACAAGGATAAAAAATTTTCATTTTAGATAAAATAAAATTAATTTGATTGTAATTTTTTGAAAATGTTGTAAAATCAATAGATTTCGGATTATTTTTATTGAATTTAATAGCCAAAAATTCATTAATTGAAGAAAATATACAAAATTTTGTTTTTTAATTGGATAATGCTTAAATTCATAAAGCATAAAACATAAAAAAATTCTAAATGAAATTAATCTATTTTACCCATCTTCATATACATCAATTTGGGACCCCTGTGGGTACACATTTAGATAAATTAAAAAAAATTGTAAGATAAATAAAAAATTACAAAAATTTTAACAATTCAAAGTACAATTGAAACAATTTAAGAAATTAAATAATAAAATATAAAAAATTATTATTATAAATCTATTGAATATTTTATGAAAGCATTATAAAATGAAGATTTATAATAAAAATTTGTCTAAAATGAAATAAAATAAAATTAATTTTAGATAAACATAAAAAATAAAATAAAGAATATTAATAAAAAGAAAAAACATAATAAAATAATGAAAATTACATATGTAATTAAAAATTAAAATTATAAGAAAAAAAGTAAAATTAAAAATTAAAATTCACAAATAAAGTGGAAAGTAGGATAATTATACATATATTTATGTATAAATATTTTAATTATAAATATTATATATTTAGAACTTTTTTAATATACAATTCTAAATTTTAGTTAAATAATAAAAATAAAGCACTAATGTATCACATAAATGTATGAATATGAGATAGAATTAACACATGGAAGTACGATATACGAAATTTAAAAATATACTTAAATATGAGAATACTTGCATATGATAATTTTATTATGGGAAAAGACGACATAAAATATTTATATAAAAAAAATTAAACGATAATTTTTTTAAAAAAAAATGGGCTGCACAAAACAATGAAGAAATTTTAATACTCTAAAATAGTTGTCATTTAAAAATTATATGGTCGTTAATTTTGACTCTTTAAAATATTTTTGCCACTCTAAAATTTACTTCGCAACTTTAAAATACACTATAGATCCCTAAAATATATTTTCACTATCCTAAAAAAACTTTTTTATACTAAAAATAGAAAACTTTTGAATTTCATTCAATCAATCAATTAAATAGAATATCATATATAATTTAACTTACGATTAAAACAATAAACGCAGGAAAAAATATTTGATTTTCTTTATAATTCCGGACCCCAAACCACAAATCCCTAACCCCAACATTAAACCCAACCAATACCTCTTAAATAAACTCAGATGAAAATAACTTTTTTGAGCTCTTATAACTATCGAGATATAATATATAAAATAAATTATGATAATAATAAATGACTAAATTATAATTTTTTATTTGAATAAATCTTTATTCTGTGTTATGCATAATTTTATTAATATTTCCATTAAACTAAAATAATCTAATTTGTTTCTGATGATTAATCGATAAAAAAAATATTTTTTAGGATTAGTAAATTATATATTAAGGTAAAAAAATAGTAACAGTTAATTTTAAAGGAGAGGAAATAAACTTTTTTAGGTAGTGAAAATTTTTTTAGTGCGATGAAATTCGCCATCTATTGGAAAAAAAAAAATGATTTCTCTATAATTAAAGAAGTTCTTTAATTTATAAATTTTATAAATATAAAAAATATAAAAGCATAATCCTTTTTTTTTTCTAATTTTCAATTAAAAATAATAAAAATTAAACTATGGCAAGTTATTTTATTTTTAAATATATAAGATAATATTTTAAAAATATATAAATATTAGTAATAAAAATAAATAAAATCCTTAATAACACCAATTATATATTTTTCTTTAAACATTTATATAAAAATTTAACATTTTAATATATAATATATGAGTATTTTTATAAGTAAAAATAAATTAATAACTTAATTTTTTATTTATTATTTTATAATAATTTAATTTACATTTTAAATAAATATTATAAATCCATAAATAATTTATCATTCTGTTTAGGTTGATAAAAAATTATTTTATTTATAGAAATATAAATTTTATAAATTTTTTTATTAAAAATGTATTTTACTTTGTAATTAGGTATTTTTCATTTTAAATTAAAATTAATTTATATATATATATTGTTTTTTTTATTTTTTCTGTAATTAAATTTAAATAACTGAATGCTTAATCAAAAAAAATCGAGAGAAAAAAGTGTATTTGATTGATGTTTTTAAAAAATATAGAATAAATAAATAAATAAAAAAAACATTTAATATTTATTATTCTTAATAAGATAACACATCTATAAATATTTATTTATAATATAATTATTTTTTTAAAAAAAAGCATTATAATAAATATAATAATTGCTTATTTATTTTTTAATTTAAATATTTGTTCCCAAAATACTTATTTAATTATATTAGGATTACTACTACAAATATTAATTTATTATTTTTTCCTTAATACAAATAGAACAATTTAAATTAGTAGTATAATTATAATTTTTTTATGTTCATTTGTTATTAAAAAAAAATAGAATTCTAATATTAACTTTCATTTATAAAGATAAATGTTTAAATTTATTTTGCTTATATAAATATTATTTCTGAAATATTTTTTTTATATAGATACTAATTAATATTTATAAATATTTTCTTATTTATAAAAAATATTTTAATATTTATAATTATTTATCAAAGATAATGTTTTTTTTAAAAAAATAAGAATTTATCAATATAAAAATATAAATATGAGAAAAAAAATATTTAATTTTATATATATTTAAGCAATAAAAAAAAATTTAAATTTTTTTTTTATTAAAAAATTAAAAGAAGTAAAATAAAAACAAATTCGTAAATAAAAAAAAGATAATATAATAGAAAAAAATAGAAAAAATTAAAAATAGATATGAATTATATTTTTTTAGAAAAAAGCCCTTTAGATGCACACACATCTCAAAACAGTGGTGGCGACCATAGTAGTCATGATGTCGATCATGGCGGTCATGGTGATCACATGGTTTAGCCATTAGTTATATTATTTATATTTTACGGATTACTAATGGGAGGTTTATTACGTGAACTTTATAAGCGAACACTAATCCCTTACACACCAATGCTTATAGTGTTTGGAATACTAGTGGGATACTATCGTAAACACTTATGGTATTTTGGGGCTAGTGCAGAGTTAGCATCTACATTAAACCCACATATGATATTGTTTATATTTATACCTGTACTTATATTTGAGAGTGCCTTTAATTGCGATTGGTATATTTTCAAGAAAATTGTTGCTAATGTTTTACTTTTAGCTGGTCCTGGAGTATTACTAGGAGCTTTTTTGCTTGCAATTTCCCTTAAGATCTTCCTTGGATATACAGATATTTCTTGGGCAGGCGCTCTTACTATGGGTTCTATTCTTTGTGCTACAGATCCTGTTGCTGTAGTAGCCTTATTGAAAGAATTAGGAGCTTCTGCACGTTTGAATACTTTAATTGAAGGCGAAAGTTTGCTAAATGATGGTACTGCAATGGTTTTCTATTAACTTTTTTTGAATATGGAAAAAGGTTAAAGCTCGGGTCCTGTAGATATAGTTATAGGTTTCGTCTAAAAATCTATTGTCGGGCCTCTTTTTGGACTCTTATGTGGTTTAATAGGCGCTTTTTGGCTTCGAAGAATTATTAGAGATGATGTGTTAACATGTGTAGTAACTTTTATTACATGCTATTTATGCTTTTTTATTTCTGAATTCACGAGTCTTTAAGTTTCTGGTATTTTAGCTATTTTTGCTCTTGGATTATTAATGAGTGCCGTAGGAAAGACAAAAATATATCCTGAAAGTGAACATGCGGTTCATGTAGTATGGGCTTTTGTATAATATAGTTGCGAAACATTAATATTTTTTTTATCAGGAATAATAATAGGTATATAAATGATTTCATAATCTACAATAACGACATCTGATTGGATTCGTTTATTTTTTTTTTGGGGTTTTATGGTCGCGGCCCGTTTCATTATGGTAATAACATTATATCCTTTGCTACGTAAATTCGGCTATGGAATCACTAAACCTGAAGTTTACGTTGTTGTTTGGGGTGGTCCTAGAGGAGCTCTTGGTTTAACACTTTGCTTTAATGGTTTTGGTTGATGATTAAATCAAAAGTATCCGTTTGAAATAACTTACTATATTTTATATGGCAGGATCAGCAACATTAACTCTACTTATTAACGGTACAACCTGTGGCGCTTAGTTAATTATCTATAGCTTATTCAAATAGCACCTATAAAACACGTATATTAAATAATTCTTTAAAAAATATGTATAATAGATGTGTTGACAAAGAAAAGGAACTAAGAACAAATAACTTTTTCGCTTTAACGGATTGGGATAAAGTCTATTAAATCTCAGGAATGGAAGATTTTAGGAATAAACTTTTTGAAGGAAAGCCAGAAGTCACTCTAGGTAGAAAATCCACTTATTCTTCCTTTAATGAACCTGAAATACTTTAAGAACTCCGTTTTAGATATCTCAGAGGACTAAAATCTTTATGCTGGGAATAATACGAAAACAGATATATAGGTTCTGGTGCAGCAAAATGGCTTGAAGAAGGTTTAAATATGGCTCTAGACGACCTTACAGTACCTTTAAAGACATGGGATATGACTTATATGAATTTCACAGGTTTCAAGATTTTAAAAATGATGTTTTATATGCGTAATACTCCTGTTATAGGAAAAATAGCAAGAAACTATATAACAAATCATCTCTCATTTGTTTATGAAGTAACTACCTCTTTTATTGTAATCTCACATGAAATTCAAGAACATAATCATGAATTACCTATTTCAAAAGATTATACTCATGTTATGAATCAAGAAATGAACTAAAATATTGTTCAAGCAGAAAAATATATAGCTGAATTAGCTTATAATTTCCCAGAGTTAATAAAAACTATTCATACTAAAAGAGCATCATATAATATTATTGAAGCTTAAAAAAAATTCCTTTTATAATATAAAGATAGTGGATATATTGATAATACTGATTATAATATATTGAGATCTGAAGTTGATTAAAGGACATTATCTCTACAAAATATGGCATTCGATTGGACTATTCCTACACTCTAAAACTTTTTATTAGAATTTCCTATTTTTAGTACCCTTACTCCTGAATAAATATCTCTTATAAGAGCTAGTTTTACTCAAAAATCTTTATCTGCAGGCACTGAAATTTATCAAAAAGGTTAGCCTTTCTAAGGAATTTATTTTGTCACTTAAGGAAGTGTCGATGATAAGGTAACAGGAGATATTTCCTTAAATATAGGCATTGGAGGTTTTTAAGTTTTGCAAATTGCATTCGTGAAAATGAAGAATAATCTTATTCAACTGCAATAGCTTATACTAACTGTATTTTAAATTAGATTCCTTTTATCTTATAAAAAATATAATGAAAGAAAACAGAAGCTTTGAATAAAAAATATATCTTAAAGCTATGATTTATTTTGTAAGGATATATGCTGATAAAGCTGGTATTTTAAAAAATATGGAAGAAAATAAACTTAATGAATATTGCTCAAAAAGCGAATAATTAGTACTTAATGTTGGTCAAATTATATAATTTTCTAACGGAGGATATTTAATTACTGGACTTATTTAAGATGCTAATAATGTGTAAAATCCAGAACATTATAATGACTTTTCATATATCTAACCTTCCAAAAAAATGTTTAAGGCAGTTAATGCATGTCATATTTTGCAATTTTAAAATATTTTATAAAAGAAATAAAAATAACAAGTACTAGATGGCGGACAAGAAGAAAAAATAAACAAACAGTTCAAGCAGAATGTTAATAATCTGAAAAATGTTAGCTAAAATAATAAACATTAAATAGTCGATACTGATTATGGAGATGGAAACACATTAGAAATGAGTTTAATAAAAAAATGAAAATTATATTTTTAATATTATAAATTATAAAATAATTACCAAAAAAAATATATATAATCCATAAAATAATAATAAAAAAAAATATATTTAAAAAAAATATTAATAAAATAAAAATTTAATAATAAATCAAAATATTATTATTTAAAGAAAAATAATAATAATAATAATAATAATAATAATATAATATTAATAATAATAATAATAATAATATAATATAATAATAATTTATGCTATTAATAATGATAATAATGATAATAATAATGATAATAATAATAATAAAAATTATATTTATTATAATTATTATATTTTTTTTTTTATTTTAAAATATATTTAATACATAATTTTATTTATTTAATTCCAATATTTTACATATTATTTTTTTTTTTATTTTATATTTTAATTTTTTTAATTATTGTATATTTTTCACAATTTCTTTTATTTCTTTTTATTTTTAATCGTATTTTTATTTTTATCTCATATATTTTAATATGTAATAATCTATGAATATTGATATCTTTTTAAATTTAAATTATATAAATTAAAAAATATAGATTTAAAAGTAAATTTTTATAATAAAAATTATTAATATTTTTAATAACTATATATATAATATTTTTCATATACATATTTATTTTAAATATATATATTATATTTTTAACAAAATTAAACTATAAAAAATTATAAATTATTATTTTTAAAGTTGATTTTTTTTTAAAAGACATTTAATGAGCTATTAAAATGAAAAGATAAACATCTATATATAGTCCTCTATCATTGGATCTGTAAGAGCAATATTAGGCCTTCCGTTTGAACATCCTTTTGAAGTAATGAAAACATAGGCATAAATATATAATAATAAAATATAAATAAAATAAGTAAATATATTATAAATCATTTATACATATAAATTTAATTTTATGTTTAGATTTTTTTAGATTTTTATAATAAAAATGGTATAAAAGGTTTTTATTTTGGTTTAATTCCAAATTCATTTAGAGTAGTTACTAAAGCGTTTTATAGATGGCCATTAATGATTTCATTGCCCCATTATTTTCAATAAAATATTATTTCAACAGATTTTTAACAAAAATACAAAGGATTACATAAATTAATTGGTGCAACAATGATTGCATTTATCGAATCATTTATAATTTGTCCTTTTGAAAGGCTAAAAGTATATTTGATAACTTAATAAAATAAAAATTTATCCATTAGAAATTATTTTTAATATAATTTTAGCTTTAAAAGTTTATATTATGGTATTGAGGCCTAACTGATTAAATAAATAGTTTCTTGGATTTCATTTCTTTATACTGATTTCTTAGTAAAATAATTTTTTAGAGATAATTTTTCTTAAGATTAATAATATTTAAGTAATAGCTAATTATTAGTATGTGCAACTATTACAGGAAGCGTAAATACATTATTTAGTAAATATATTATATAACATATTTTATATATATATTAAATTATAAAATAAATTATTAGCCCATCCTTTTGATAAATTAAAGACTTTATATTAAATGCAATTAAATCAAATATATTTATAACATAATATCTATAAATTATTAAAAAACATATATTATTAATAAGGTGGAGTAAGTCTTTATAATGGATGGTAAATTCGTTTAATATAATATCTAATATAAGCTGTCTTTACTTCTACATTATTAGAAAGATTAGAAGAAAGGTTACATTATATAAACAATAAAACTGTAATTTGAAATAATATACAAAAAAGATATATTCATTTTAATAAAATAACATATATATATTTTTTAATACCATATATATATATAATCTTATTTTGATGTTTTTTTAATTATTTTCTGTAATTTTTTTTTTAAAAACTCAATCAAAAAAAAATAAAGGTGAGAAAAAATATGGAATAATGTTTTTTTTTTGAATTAAGTCTTTTTCAAAAAAATAAAAAAAGCATCATAACAAATAATAATTTTTAATTAATTAGCATTATAAAATTATCATATGCATTTCTTTACTTCTTCTCTCATAAATTAAATCGCAAGCTTAGGATCTTTATGACCATAAACTCCAGAACCAGAAACTATAACATTTGCTCCTGCTTGAGCTACTATATGTATATTATCACATGTAATTCCGCCATCAACTTAAATATTCAAATTAGGACAAAGCTATCTTAATTGTTTTACTTTTGGCATCATATCTTCCATAAATTTTTAACCTCCGAATCCGGGTTCTGCATTTTTATTATTTAGTTAATATAAATTTTTATAAATAAATTATTTTATTTACCAACTGTCATAACTAAAATTAAATCTAATAAATTATTTAAACATAATTTTTTTATTTTATCATCAATTTATGTTTTAGGTTTTATAGCCATTCCAACTTTCATTCCATTATCTCTTATTAGTTAACATAATTCTTCATGATTTTCTATTTTTTATTTAAAAAAAAAAAATAGTTAGCTTATATACCCACTGTTTCATAATGAAAAGTCATTTAATTAGCACCTGCTTTTCCGAAGTCTTTAACCCATTTTTATGGTTCTGAAACCATGCAATGACAATCTAAAAATCCTTTTACATGTTTCTTTAAGCATTAAACTACGGGGGCACCAATAGTTAAGTTTGGTACAAAATGACTTACAATTTTTAAATATAATACAAAATATTTATTTAATTTAATATATACCCATCCTTTTATTTAAAAAATTAAAAAGTTTTGATAAAATTGGTATAAATATTTTACCATAACATCAACATGGTACCAGTCTGCTTATAGTTCATCTAGTCTTTTACATTCGTTTGCTAAATCAGAAAGATCTGCTGAAAGAATTGATGGAGCTATTATTGCTTATAAATTTTACATTATTAATATTTTATTAAATCAATTAAATTAAATAATAATAAATTATATGGAATATATTATTAACAAAAATTACAAGAATAAAAACTAAATTTAAATAATAAAATATAAGTATCAATTTTTTTGTTAAAAAAATCAAAAGATAGATTTAATATTATATGTAAAAAATTAATATTCATAAAAAAAAATATTTTCATATATAAATTTTTCATAATTCAAAAAAATTTTTAATTAATATTTATTAATTATTATTATTGTCAATAGTCTAATTTTTATATAAATTTATTTATCTTATTGATTTGATTTGTTAATATGGGTAATTTTTCTTTTAACAGATACAAATTTTAATCATATTTTTAATTTTTTGTGTCATGGATTGAAGAATTTTAGTATTTAGGCATTAATTTATTATAATAGCTTTCAAAATTATTTATTATTATATTGATACATTGAGCTTAGTAGCTTAACTTTCAAGCCATATAATGAAGATACTAAACTTAATAGTTTTCAAAAGCATATATATTATATAGATTAAAATAATATATATTGAATAATTCTTGAAGTTAACCGTATGCTATTTATACAAAAAAAATTAATAATTTTTATACAAATGGGTATTTCTTTAGTATCAGTTTTAACTAAAGAATAAATAAAATGGTCTAATTATAAACTATAATTATATGATATAGGTTTATAAGCGCCTTTTAAACTTAATAATAGAATATTAACTTATTTAAAAACAATTAAATAAATACTTTGTTACTTAAATCTTCCATATTTTTAACTTCAAAAGGACATCTTAATGCACATATTTCAAAACTTAAACATTCTAAACTCCTAATGTAATTTTTTTATATATAAACTATATAATACGAATTTCAGGGGAAGTATAATAAGGAGTTCCAGTATGTGTGTATAAAAGTCCATTATTTTAAAGTTTTTTTGAAACATTTAAATTTCTTATTATAAATATTTATTATTCTATGTCTAAAATGCATTTGTAGATTTTAAATTTCTATATTAAATGAAAAATTAAACAATTCTTATAAAACATTAATTATATTATATAATTCCATATTTGTATTTCGAAAAGATAGTTATTGAATTTTTATAAATATTTTAATAATTTCTCAAGGTTTTCTCCTTTGGCATACTTCATTATTATACATAATTATGATATATATTTATTAAATATTGCTTATTTTACTTATATGAAATAATATTTTTCTTTTAAACTGAAGGTAAATAGCGAATTTCTTTAATTGTTTTTTAACTGTCTTTTTCTTTTGATTTAAGTATCTTTAACTTTTTTATTGGATATAATTGCCTATCTTTATTTCTTTTTACTTTATCAATTGTAATTTTTGAATTGAAATAATTTAATATTCTTTCAAATACGCATTGCTAAAGTAATAATTTTTTAACTTACATCATTTATTATTATTATTTGTTTGATTCTTTGATTAATAAAATTTAAAAAATAATATAACGAAAAAAAAAATAATATTAGATTTTTATTATTTTTTAGTTCTTTAAATTAAAAAAAAGAAAAAAATAAAATTTCAGAAATTTTCAAAAGCATTTTTATAAATATTTTAAAAATAAATTATTTATTTATGAATAATATAACTGCACAAATAAAAAGCTCTTATTAAGGATATCACAAACAAGTAGCTAAATATATATTAGCTTTATAAAAAATATAAAAAAGGCAGGAGTTTCAACAAAACTACCCAATGAATCAGCAGCAAACTGCATAAAACCTGATAATGATGTATAAATAAATTAAAATTCAAAAAATAATTAAATTAAAAAAAGAAAAATCCTGGAACACCTGAACATGTAAAAAAATATAGAAAATCTTACAAAATGCAAAGCGGTGTTACAATTGTAAAATTAATTTTTTTTAAAAAAATATATATATTAATTAAAAATAATGTTTAAAACATATATATTTTTAATAATAGTTACATCATGGTGTAAAGGATGATCCTAAACCAAATGAAAACTTTATTTATGGGAAAAAAGTCGAAGGATCAGACCATGTAATTTATATATATTTAATTAATTAAAATTATTATATATATAATAAATAATATAAACAAAAATATAAAAAAGGTAACAGATGTATTTGATGGATCTAAGTAATAAGGGATAAAGTAAATGATAAACTAATTAAAAGAAGCCTAATATGCTTCAAGAACTTTGTAATTAATAAAAAAAACCTATTTACAAATTGAATAAATAAATATATAAAAAAATATAGAGAGCCTTTGGGAGAACCGATGAAAAGAAATTATCAGTTTCCAGATTAAGTTCACGATGAAAGCTTTAAATTTGGATTAGCTACAAAAAACAGTGAATATACAGCAAAAGAAGTAATGTTCCCTTAAAAGCCAATAATGAATGATTCAAAAACTCATTAATAATATGTTTTCACTCATGGAAACTTTGAAGCAGGTGAATAAAAAAGCAGAGATTATAACTGGCCTGTAGATCCAAAAGAACATCGTTTTGGAAAATTTGAAAAAACAGTCACTAATCAAGCCTAATTAGCTGTACATTAAGATTCTATTCCTAATGAGTATTTTTTTTTAAAAAAAAAAAAATACCATTAACAAATAAATTTTTTATTAAAAAGATTTCCTAAAACAATAATCCTTAAAAAAAAATAAGAAGATTTTAAAAACTATCATGAAGATCATCTAGGATAACCAAAAAATTTGGGATAAACAAACGCTAAAAATGATCCTAACAAAGTTTTTGGAGCAAGATTAGGTGGTCCTGATGAATGGAATGCCGGAAAATGTATTAGAGGAGATGGTACCTTAAAAGAAGTTCAACCCGATAAAGATTTAGGAACCACTAACAAGTTTGGATTTAGAAACCTTCCTAAACCTGGGGATGAAAACAGAATTTTTGGAACACCTACTATTAGAGATGATATTATGAAACCTTAAGTGAAATCTATAGCTGACCCTAATGTTAATTTTTAAATATTTTTTTAAATAAAATTAAATAAAATTATTAGAATTATGGCGATGAAAAGCCAGCAGTTAATTTATTGTTTCCTTAAAAATATCATTATATGGGTGTTGATGAATAAGATTTCTTATTGAAAAGAAATAAATAAGAAGTAATATTTTTATTACTTATTTAAATTAATAAAATAAATAAAGATAAAAGAAATTTTCAAAAGTATTGGATTTGATTATAAAGCTGGTAAATTCGAAGGAATTTATAGAAGAGCATTAGAATTTGTAAAAAATAATATATATATGATTTATATATAATTATAATATATAGTAAAACACAAATGATGAAAAAGTATCAATTAAAAATTTTATGTAAGCAATTTAAGAAATGCATCATATTGAATGAAAAAATATATTATTTTTTTATATATATATATTTTTTTTTATTATAAATATGTTTTTTTTATTTTGAAAATTAATTGGTTAAATGTTTCCTTTTTTTTTAAAAAAAAATCATCTTAATTAGTTATATTTTTCCCTTTCTTTAAAAAAAATCAACTTTTATTTTAACTTTAAGCTTTTTTTTATGGAAAATATTTATTCCACTATTTTTAATATTTATTAAAATGAAATTCTTCTAATCTTTCCTTATATCTTTAATTAAAATAATTTACATTAAAAACCAAACTTTTTAGTTTATTATTTTCAGTTTTGAGCTCTTGTAAATACTTACAGGCAATATGTGGTGGCTCTTCTAATAAATTATTAATTTTATTTACTTATTATTTAATAATATAATCTTATTTTTCTCTTTAAATGCGATAAATTTATTTTTTTATTTCAATTTTTTCCTGTTAACTTTTATTAAATTATTACATATTAGTCATAATTTTTAAAGATAAATTATTTTTAATATCAAATTATTTTTATCTAATAGAATTATAATCTATAATTAAAGGTAATTTTTAATTGAAATTAATTATAGGAGATATAGATTGCTCTTTGTTCTCTTATTTAAGTAATTAACTTTATTTATTTTTTCTTAAAATTTAACTTATTTAACTTTTGTCTAAAGGAGTTATATTGCTTAAATCATCCAAGAAATATGGTTTATTTTTTTATTTCCTATTTGATTATATTGTATTGAGTTATTTTCTATTCATAAAACCTTTATTTAATTTATATAAATCAGCCATTTATGGTGTTTTTGGCTTTTATTTATTATCATATGATTAAAAAAAAGGAGGTTAGTCATTTGAATTATCAATTTATAGTTTATTTGCAAGCTATAATCCTTAAGGGGTTATAACAATTTTTGAATTCATTTTTTGATTATTTATTAATAATGAAATTAAATAAAATATTATTTTTGTGAATATAAATAAATTTTATATATATATTTTTTATTTATTTTGAAATTTTTTCATTATTTTTTTTTCAAATGTTCTTCTTCATATTTTTCTATTTTCTTCTTAAAAAAAGTAGGAATAAGAGCAACAAATCCTAAAAGCGCAACCCATAATATATTCTATTTAAAAAAGAAAAAAAAAATATATATATATATATATAGATATTATATTTAATATAAATTACTTAAAAACTAGCACCAACTTTTTCTAAAGTTGATAAAGTTTACCCGGCATTTATATGAACAATATTCAAAGGCATTAACCCTAAAAGTGTTCCAAAGCAAAAATGATATATTGGAATTCCAACAATAGGAGAGCTTATATTAACAAACCAATTAGGAACTAAAGGTGTAAGTCTCAAAAATAGCATGTAATAAAAGGTATTATCTTTATTTGCTTAAACTTTTTTATTAAATTTAACTAATAAATCAGGAAAATATTTTAAAACTATTCCTCTTCCGAGTGTATATGATAATCCATAACAACAGCAAGCGCCTGTAGTCGCACACTTTAAATTAAAATTTATTAATAAAAATAAAATATTTAATTTATTTTTTAAATATAAAATATATTTGTATTGATTCTTTTTTAGAAAACAATTTTTTATTTTTTAAGTATAACAAAAAAAAAAATATAATTATATTAAAATTTTATTAATATTTTACCAAACAAACTAATATAAATCCTTTTATAAACCCAAATAAAGCTCCACTTAAAATACTTAAAAATACTGGTCCAGGAATTGCAAAAGATTAAAGAAATACATACAAATAGCAAAAAGATATTAAAACAAAATATGGATTTTCTTCATTAAATCTATCAATAACACTATGAATTCGACGTAGGTCTTGTACATTTCTAGGAAATATAATTAAGTTTTATTTATCTTCCCTAACAAAAAAATTATAATAATAATAATTTCAATATATTTTATTTCCTTACTATGATATTTATGGAGAATAACTTAACAAAATAAAAAATAATGAAAGAGCAACTATAAATATTAACAATAGTATATATTTGCTTTTTGTATTTCCTTTTATTTACTCTTGTAATTCTTTTATATCTTATATTTAAATTAGTAAATTTTATTTAACAAAATATTTAAAAATTACCTATATCTTTCATTTTATATTTATTCAATATATAATATGTTTTTTTTTTTAAATAAATTCTTGATATAAAAATTCAGAATATAAATATATATTAATTTTTTAATTATTATATATTAATTTTTATATTCGATTTAACATTTTTTTTTTTTATTAAAAAATGTAAAAAATTAATATTTTATATAAATATATAATATTAAAAATATTAACTTTATTTTATAAAATATATAATATAAAAATGTAAAAATTATTTATAATTATATATAAACTTTAAGTAGTAATTAATTAAAAAAACACTTAATAAAAATTTTTTTGATAATTAATTTTTTAATAAAACTCAATATATATATAATTGATTCAAACCTTAAACATGTATATAAGAAATTATGATAATAAACTTTTTTTTTGAGTGATATTAAATACAGTATATAATTAAAATTATTATCATTTTGAAAATTAGTACCTTTTTTTTTAATATTGTTTGACGTAGATAATTTTTCTAATTTGCTTTCTACAAACTTTACAAGTTTCTCTTATATTTTGCTTTATTTAGTTTATTTGATTCTAGAAAATCATTATATTATTCTAAATAAATATTTTTTTTAAAAAATGATTTAAAATTAAATAATTTTTTTACTTTTAAATAAGGTATCAATTAATAAATTTCATCTTAATAAATATTCGGTTTAATTATTTCAAGTGGAAGCTAATTAGATTTGATAGATTCAATTTAATGATCTTCATTTTAAGATTAATTTTAATTGCTTACAGTATAACTATTATTATCACTTTCTTGAATTTTAATCTATTACTATAAATATTCTTAGATATCTTCATCTGAAGATAAAGTATTTTAAATTATAATTTAATGTTAATTTTTTATTCTTTATTTAAATTCATTATTTAATAATTCAATTTTAATCATAGCTTTATAGTTAGCAAATTTTTTATTTGGATTATAATCAGAAAATGTAGATTACATAATAAATTAAATTTAATTATTTTTCTAATCATTTAAATTATTTTAATTTTCATAAATTTTATCCCAATTAGAAATTTATTTGCTTCGAATTCTTTTATCATCTAGGCTTTTACTGAGTTAATTACTTATATTACTTTAAATAAAATTTTTTAAATGTAAATTCCTTTTTTTTGGTTTTATTTCATCTTAATTTAATTAACAAACTTCATTCAAATTATCTTCAGCTTTTAAAATTTTATTACTTTAAAAATTGTTTTCTCTATCAGATATACTTTAAAATTATAAATCAGAAACTAATATTTCTTGTTTTTTTTAATTTTAATAAATATAATTACTAAGATATAATTTATTATGAATATTTTAATAATCTCCAACAAATGAACATTAAGAGTCTAAAGGAAAATTTTTAATACTATTACAAAAATCAAAAAATTTATGAGAGATAAAAAACTTTTTATTATTAGAATTCAAAATATTTTTTAAAGGAATTTTTTTTTTTTCCTAAACATTCTCTTCAAAGTCAGTATTTAAAATTTAAGAAACGCTTTAATCTAATAAAATCTTATTTTATATTTAAATACTAGATAATAAACTTAAATTACGTAAAAGTTCACTTTTATATATTTTTCCTTATATTAACTGACTTTTTTTAAATTTTTATAAATAAAATTTCTCATAAATTTATTAAAAATTAATTGTATTAAATTTATATTATTCTACATTACCTGCTAATTTTTATTTAATTTAATTTTTTCGTAATTATTAATTTATTTTATTATTATTAGTTGATAGCTTAGTATTTTTGTATTTATATAATTTATAAGCATCAAAAGCTACTAGGCGAGATTCTTTGAAGAATTGATTTCTTTAATAACAAAATTATTTTAACCAATCATACTCATAATGATATTTTTACATAATTGAAATTATATTTTCAGCTTAAATAAATTAACATATTAAATTTTAACTTTTTCCTGCACGAATATTAAATTAATATTTTTTAGCTATTAAACAGTTTTCTCCAAAAAAAGAACCTGTATATAGTTTTCGAAAGCTTATTTAGTGTATATTATTTTTTACTTCTATTTAATCTGATAAGACTGCTTTTCCTATTTAAATAAAATAAATCCCGTTCGGAAACTTATTTTTGAGGATAGCTTTTTATCCTTTTTTAATAATAACTAATTTTAAATTTGCTACTATTTCTTAAATTATATATATATTAGGTATGTTTCTAAAAAAATTAATAAAAATATCTACAAATTCAGCAAAAAAATAATTAAATACTTATTATTTATAATTAAAAGGCAAATACTTATAAAATTAATTTTGATAAATTTATAATTTATAATCATAACAGGTTTAATATTTCTTAAATTTTCTTAATTAATTTAATAAATCTCCATAAAAAGCTTATTCACTATTTTTTTCTCTTTAAAAAAGCCAAACCTCATATTCTTATTTAATTTAATTTTCTTATATTTATCCTGAATTTAATGAAATATTTATTAATCCAATAAGCCCTACTTAAATATAACCATATAATGCGATTCCTACAAACATACAAAAAGACGCATAAGCTTACTCTAGCTTAGTTTGTACTGAATAATCTCCATAACCTATAGTAGTTATAGTTGTTACAATATAATATAAAGCTGAAACATAAATTTTAAATCTGTACTCATGATAATCTTCATAATTTTAAAATGACTTATTGACCCAAGCAATTTTTTCATCCTCATCTATAAAACCAATATTTATATAAATACAACTTAGCAAATGTATACTTATAATAATAATTAAAAATACTCTAGGTTATAGTTTATTATAAAATATTTTTTATATATCTATAAATATATACCTTATTAAATTAAATAACATTATCGAATATTTTATTTTAAAAGATCTTAAAATAACCTATATATTATTTATTGACTATATTATACATATTTTATTACTTTTGAAATAAGAAATTTAATAAAAAACATCAATCTTTTCCAATTTAAAAATAACCTTATCATTTTAAACATTATTAAATCAAAAATATGACTTCTATAATAAATTGATTACCAAGGAAAAAGTGCAAACATATCAAAAAAAAACTAATTCCTAATCAATATTTAAATAAAAAATAATTTAAATGCTATAAAAATAAATAAAAAATTAATTAAATTTTTATAAAAACTCTATACCTTATGTAAATTTTTGCAATTTACTTAATTTTAAGTACTTTCATAGAATTTTATGTTTTCGTTGTAATCAATTATAAAAATATATCTATTATGTATAAGCCATCAAAAAAAAAATCTATTATAACATAATCTTTACTATCTTTTTCAAACGCATTCCTAAACGGAATAATTAAAGCAAAATAAATACTTGTAATACCAATAATACAATCCCATGTTAACTTTATTACATTATGAGAATCTATATAAAATCTACTTTTTAAATCTATATATAAAATAAAATTCAAATAAACATTATATTTTAATAAAAATAACTTATTTATAATAAGTTATAAGTGTAATTTTTTTAAATTTTTAATATATTTATTTTTTAAAAGCGACATTAATAAAAATGTATATTGCAATGAACATAAAATAAATAATAAATTCTAATAATTTTATTTAAAATTTTTAATTAAATGTGATTAATGTTTGAATTATTAACTTTATTAAATTAATTTAATATTTTTGAATAGTTTATTATTTTAAGCAATTTATAATATTATTTTTTAATTATTGAATAGTATTACCTATTTATTCTTATTTTGATTACCTGTACCCTTTAAATTGCTGATTCATCCTTATGAAAATATTGCTTATTACACTTTTTATATTTAAAAAATATACATTAATTTTAAAAAAATTATTAACTTTTTCTAAAACTTTTTTACTAAATAAACCTCTTTTACATATTCCCATTTAGACTTTCTATCTATTTACAATTCTAATTTTAATTATTTAATTATATTTATTTATTCTTTTATATTTATTTTACATTAATTAGTAGTCATATCAATTGGTATATCAGAAATTTAATTCTTAACCATTTTCAAAATTAAAAAAATATAAGTTAAAAAAAATAATTTAGATACTATATTTTTATTAATTAAAATCCGCATTAATTAACAGATACATTTAATTATAATAGAAAAAAGTTAATATATTGTTAATTAATACCCAAGAATTTATTAAAAATTCACTTTCATAATGGATATTAACTAATTTAATATTAAATTACATTCAAATTTTCATTAAATAGAATACATAGAAAATATATTTGAATCGAAATTTATAATATTATAATAATATAATAGTTTAAAATTTATATTAAAAATAAATAAATTATCATTTTATTTTTATTATATTTATTAAACTTTTTTAAATTTATATTTATAAATATATATTATTAAATTTATTTATTATATTGTTCTGAATAATCAAATGTAAAATCATTAAATAATAATTATAATCTCTATATTTTAGAAATTCTTAATAAGATTAATAAAGTAAAAACTATTTTAAAATATCAGGAATATATATGGTTTATAATAAGAAACAAATATTTATATTATTTTAATTATTTATAGTTAATATAAATTAAAAAATTATTTTATATTATATTGTAATTATCAAAATTGCTATTATATGAAGTATATTTCTTTATAAAATAATATATAATTTTGTTATTTATTTAATATTTTATTTTTAATTATAAATTTTTATATTTTGTAATCTGTGCTAAGAAGTATCGTTATAGTAGAAAAATAAAATTATTTCATAATATAAAAGAATAATATTAATAATTAATAATAATATTCTGTATAATTGAAATAAGAGTTATTCGTATATTTATAAATTATTAAATAAATTAAAAACAAATAATTTTTATAATTTTCTATTATCATTTTTTTTTTAAAATATTTATATTTTTTGATTATTTAACTTATAAATTCAATTTTTAAGTAAATACAATAATTTTATCTTAATTATATTATTTATCTTCTCTTCTTTTTTATTTACTTAAATATATGTTTTTTTTTTTTATTTAATATTAAATTTATCTTTATTATATATTAAGGGGAAAAAAAAAAAAATGGTATTTGAATTTTTATTTTAAAATTAAAGTCATAAAACTACTAGAGGTTATTATATAAATCATGATAATTTAATGTTAGGTGATCAAAACTTTATATTATTGTATCTAAATATTAAAAAATTATATAATAGCAACACCAGAAGAAAGAAAAAAATTAGTTTTTTACTTTATTGGTTAATAAGTACCAGAAAAACTTGATCCTGATGATAGATAACTTTTTTTAAAAGAAAGGTATTTTTTAAATATTTAATTTTCAAAATATAATTAACATTATAAATAATAGTTAAATATTAGATGCAAAAGCAACACTAATTGGCGGACTATTTGGTCTTTTAACATTATCTGGATATCCATATTATAGATCATCTATTAATCCTAGAATTTTTTTAAATGTAACTATATTTGCTGTCTCTGCTTCATTTTATTATTATATTGGAAATTCATTGGTATATTATTTTTATTTATTAAATTAAATTTAATTTTTTATTTTAAATAAGGTTTACAATGTATGGGAACCAAAATTTGTTGCAAATAACAAAGTTTTAGATGAATTAGCTAACAAATATAATTTTACTGTATTTGATTTTGCATAAGCTAAAAAAGAAGCACATTTAAAAGCATTAAGAAATTCTTTAGGAAACGATTGTCCAATTATAAATACTTCGTTATGAAAATTTATATAAAATATTTATTTAATATAAAAATATTGAAAAAAAAAATGAATATTTTATATAAATAGTTGAATAAAAAATATTTTTTATTTTAAATAAAAATATCAATTTAAAATAAATCAAATTTTGTTTTTTATTATATTTTAGAATGAATTTAAATATATAAAATAATAAATATTAAATGTAATATTTAAGAAAAATACATATAATAAGAATTAAATATTATTATTTATTAATATTATAAATTGTTTCAATTGATTCAAAAAAAAAATATTTAAATAAAAAAATTAGCTTGAAAAAATATATATATAGCAAAATAATAATGTGTTTAAAAGAATTAAAAGAAAATAATGTTATTATTCTGATGAAAAAATAAATAATAAAAATATATTTCAAAAAAAAAAAATTATTCATATTATTAAAAATAAATTAAGTTTTAAAAAGATTAAATTAAAATAGTTATAATTAAACAAAAAAAAATTAAGTATATTTTTAATAAATATTAATAATTAAAAAGTTATCAAAAATATTTATAATTATAAATAAAATAAAAATTTTAAAATAAAATATAATTTATAAAGATATTTTAATAAAAAAAAGAAGAGTCTATTAAATAAAAAAAGTAAAAAAAAAAAATAAAAAAAAAAGATAATTATTGTTTATTATAATTAAAAATTTATAAAAATAATATTTTAAAATAAAATATAATTAAAATTTATATATAAATATATAAATATAAAATATATATAAATATATAATTATATATTTATACATATATATATATAATATTAAAGAATTATTTTTATGCTTCATTATCAATTTAATAAATTTTATATTAAATACTAATTAATTATTTTAAAATCTTAAAAAAAAATCAACATATAAATATTTATTTATTATTTATTTTTTTCTTAAATTATTTATTATCTTTTATAAAATAAAGTTTATTATTATATATATAAATTACTATTTTATTCTTTTTTTTCTCATTTTTTAAATTTTTCTTGCTAATTTAAGTTTATTTAATTTTTATTTTTATTTTTTTATAAATTTTATTTTATATAATTCATTATTTAAAATTAAAATTTTAAATTTTCTTATCTAGTATATATATTACTATTTTTTTGTTTTTTTATTTTCTATTGTAGCTGTTTTTAAACCTGTTCCTAAAAAATTACCCTTATCTATTTTTCTTAATTTTTTTATTTGAAATATTTAGTTTTAATAAAAAAAAATAGAAAATATATAAAAGCTATATCTTTTATTTATTATGAAATAAAATTAAATATATAAATATTTTATAATATATAAATGATATAACTATAGAAAAAATAAAATGAAATAAAAAATAGCTTTAATTACTGGTTCTTCAAGCGGAATAGGTTTGAAAATAGCACAAATATTTTAAAAAGAAAAAATAAAAGTTTTAATGTGCGGATTAGATGATTTTAACTAAAAGTTTAAGGTAAATGAAAATTTAATAGACTATACTAAAATTGATTTATAAGATAAATAATAAAGATAAAATTATGTATAAAAAATAATTTTAAATTTTAAAGGAATAGATATATTAATAAATAACGCAGGCATTTTCAGAAATTTATAAGTTGAAGATACGTCTTTGGAAGATTGGTAATAAATGCTAGAATTGAATTTGACTGTACCATTTTTTTTAATTTAAAGTTTTATTCCTTATATGAAATAATAAAAATTTGGAAGAATTATAAATATTTCATCTTAAAAAGGTATTTTATACCTAATTTTCCTACATAATTTTTTATAAGGAATAAAAGGAGCTCCTAAATAATCTGCTTATTCTGCTACAAAGCATGGCCTTATAGGATTAACTAAATCGGTAGCTTTAGAGACTTGTTAATATGGAATTACTTGCAATTCTATTTGTCCAGCATGGGTAAAAACTACTCCTTTAATTTAAGAAATACAATAAACTGCTGAAAAAATAAAGTTAGTTTTCAAGAAGAACTTTAAAGCTTTTTAAAAGATAAATAGGAAAATTATGAAATGACAGAGCCTGATGATATTGCTTAAACAGTTTTATTCTTATGTAAATAAGAAGCAAAATAAATAACTGGATAAGCAATTTTACATGATTCAGGTGCAACAATAGATTGATAAATAAAACAAAAAAATTAAATTAAATTTAATATTAAAAATATATTTTTATCAAAGAAATCCAAGATTAAAATTTTAAAATCCTTTTTTAATATTATTTATATTTATATTTATATGATATAAGATTAAATTAATAAATGTTTATTATTAATATTTTATAATATATTATATTAGTATTTACAATTTTTTTTTATTTAAATAAAATATAATAAAAATATAGATAATAGTATTTAAGATAAAAGAGAAAATACTATTTATCCAATAAAGTTATTTAAAATTTAATTTTTAAAATTATAATAATATTTTTATATTTATTTACTGCCTTTTAATGGATAAAAAAAGATCGGAATTAAAAAGTTTATCCCATCCTTTTCCATTAAAATTATAAAAAAATATTAGAAGAAAAAACTAATTTAAGTAAAATTAATTATAAAAAAACTAATAATAATAGAATTAAAAAGGAGGTATATAAAAATTATATATATCTTCGATTTTTAAATAAAATTATTATAAATTTTACAAAGATAATGTCTAAAATGATGATTTAGATTTCATTAAAATTTTAAAATTTAGAATACGTGTTGAACAATTATTAAATTCAAAATATGGTGGATATATTGAATTAATAAGTTCTTTATTAAGCTTATTTTCATCTGTATTATATATTATAAGTACATATCTAGATGAAATTTCTTGGATGAATTAAATAGATGTAGTTGTAATGATTTTATTTGGTTTTGAATATCTTCTAAAATTTTACGTGTCACAGCATAGAATTCATTATTTATTCGAGATTTGGTCAATGATAGATTTAGCTTGCATTATTCCAGTTTTTTTTATTTTTACATAATCTACATCTGATTAAAGTTTTTAAACCTTTTTAAACATAACAAGGATTTTTCGTTTGCTAAGAGTAGTAAGATATATTTAAAAAAATTATAAGGCTGGTGATAGTGAGTTTAAAGGAGTATATAAGTAAATTAAAATAAAATAAATTTATTATAATTACATAAAAAAAAGGTAAATTTACATAATATTTCTTACAATATTATCAGTAGTAATAATAACTGCAGGAACTCTTTTATCATTCGAAGCTCCTAATAGATTAGAATAAATAAAAAGAAATAATAATTTTAATCCATTAATTTGTAAAATCTATTAATATAATTTATTATAAAATATATATTTTTAATTGTAGAAAAATGCTCAACATAAAGAATAAACAAAGCGACTTTTCATGAAATGATATATTTCGTAGTAGTATCAATTTCCACAGTTGGATATGGAGATGTTGTTCCTTATACAGAATTAGGAAGGGTAACTGTTATGTTCTTAATTATCATTATTATTATTATAATACCATAACAAACAAACGAATTAATAAGATTAATTGGATTATAGTCTGTTTATGCTAGAACAATATACAAACCTAATTCAGATGTCCCTCATATTCTTATATGCGGACATGTGGATGTATCTGCTTTAAGATTTTTCTGTAATGAATTATTTCACGAAGACCATGGGAATTAAGATAAAAATGCTATTATTTTGTAAACATCAGTCCCAAATAATGAAATGGAATTGTTTTTACATAATTAATAATTTGAACATAATTTAACATATTTATAAGGAAATCCATCTTAAGAAAGAGATTTAAAAAGAGCAGCAGCAACTAAAGCAAAAGCATGTGTTATTTTGATAAATAAAGTAAAAAATTTAAAATAAATCTTATTAATATAAATATATTTACGAATTCTTATAATTTTTAATATTTACTTAATGCTATTATTTTTAAATTTTTAATTTATGTTGTATAAAATTTATATTTATATAGTGTAACTTTTTTATATATATTTATACATTTTGTACTAATTACAATTTTATTAATATTATTTTAGATTTTATTTTATTTATTAATATTCTTTTTTTATTTATAGTATTCTAATGATTCTATGAATTCTGATAATAGAAATATTTTAATGGGTTTAGCTATTAAAAAAATAGTTAACCATATTACTAGAGGTGAAAGCAATATTAATTTATGCTTATAATTAATTAAACCTGAGAGTAAAATACATTATTTATCTGCTCTTAATTAAAAATCAAATGATTAGCTTATTGTTATAGAAGAAATTAAAATGAATCTTGTAAGATTTAATTTTTTTTGATCATATTTTTATTTAATTATATTTAAATTCTAAAGCTGGCTAAATCTTGTTTTTGCCCTGGTATTATTAGTCTTATAGGAAATTTAATTTAAAGTGCAGGAAAAGCAGAAATAAAAGAAATGAAAAAAGATTGGATTTAAGAATATATTGATGGAACAGGACATGAAATTTATCGAACAACACTTTCTACGGCATTCAGCAGCTGGACTTTATCTGCTATTGCGGCAAAAATATATAAGGAATTTTAAGGAATATTATTTGCAATAGAAATAGATATAGATGGCTAAACGATTATAAGGCTAAACCCAGGGTCTTTTATAGTAAAAAATACTCCTGAAAGTAATGTTTATGTATACATAATATGTTAAGATAAAACAGTTGCAGATAAAGTTTCTAATTATTCAATGAGTACTGAAGATGTTTTGGAATTTAATTAAAAAAAAATCACACATTAAAAAAAAGACAAAGCAGAAAATTAGTCTGATTAAAAAGACGATCTTTTTTAGTTTCCTAAATAAAATATGTTCCAAGATTTTGAAATGATTGAAAAAGATTATGTTTTATTAAATGAACCTGTTAGTTTAATGTAAGCAACTGAATATTCTACTAATGTTAAAAATCATATAGTTTTATGTGGGAGTCATCCTTCAATTTACTATTTTATATTACCACTTCGTGCTAAATATTTAAAAGAATTTCAACATATAGTAATTTTAAGTGATCATAAACCTACTAAAATTTGGGATTCAATATCACGTTTTCCAAAAATAATATATATTCATGGTTCACCTTTAGTAAAATAAGATCTGATTAATGCTAATATAGGTTAGGCGGATAAAGCAGTAATTTTAGGCTAAGAAATGGCTTCTGATTCAAATAAAAATTAAACACTTGACGAAATGCTAGATGCTGAATCAATATTCATATATAAAGCGATTCAGAAAATAAACAATAAAGTATAAATAATGATTGAACTTGTTTATCCATCAAATATAGAATTCTTGTTACCAAAAGATGTGAGTTACGGTAAGAATTTTAAATCTGAACTTACTCCACTATATTCAGCAGGTGAAGTTTATATTTCAACAATTATAGATACCCTAACTTGTTAAACATATTATAATCCTCATATTCTTACAATATTATAATAAATTCTAACTGGAGGCAGTATTTCATAAGAAAAGCTTTCAAATAATAATGAAATATTAAATTTAAAATAAAGTAACTTATGGTAAATCAGTGTGCCTGAAGATTACTAAGTGAGTATTTAAATATTGTGTTTTGCAAAAGTTATTTTGTCTCATTAACATACACATTATTTTGAAAAAAAATAATTTGTTGATTTTAATTTAAAGATATTATTAATTGTTCTGATGTTTTTTTTTTTTTTTTTTTCTCTATTCGTTTTTTTTCGCTTTTTATTTTTAGTTTATCGAATATTGACTTTAAAAATAATAAAAAAAAAACATCAGGGCAAGTAAAATATATAATATTAAATTAATTTATTTATTATTAATTATAAAGGTATATATTAAATTATTTCTATTTTTTTATAAGCTAATTTTTAATTGTTTTTTTAAAAAAAGAAAAATGATTTAATATATAATACCATAACTAAAAAAATAAAATATTATGGTATAAAACTTTGAATTAATAATACGATGTTAATAATAAAATAAATAAATTTTGCAAAAATCAATATTATTTGAAATTTTATAATAAATAAAAAAATTAAAATATATTGATTTTTATTTAATTAGAATAAAACATTTGGTGAATTATTTGAATATTTAAGTTAATAAAGAGACTTAATTGCTTTAGGACTTTATAGAACATCTGGTGCTGTTGATAATATTCATCCTTATACTTACACAAACCCACCCGAAAATGTTAATATTTATATTAATATTATTTATATATTAAATTTTTATAAAGTTAAAACTTACTTCTAAAGATAAAGTATTTGTATTATCATATAATATACCTAATGATTTACTTGCGAAAAATGAAGATAACTAAAAAGATGAAAATTTGATATCTTTTCAATCAGAATAAAGATTTGTAATTAAATATATATATATATATAAATATATATATATATATATATATATATTTAATTTTTAAAATAAAAAATAAATATTTAAAAAGGATTTAATTAATAAAAATAAAGATGAATAAATATATTTTGAGCAAAAACAATAATAATTAACAATAGAAACTATTATAAACAGTAAAATAAATACCAACTTTGATATGGAGAATCTTAATATGAGTATTAGAAAATATATTTATTATAATTTATAAAATCTTTTTTATAAAGATTCAGCTTCATACTTAATTTTAGATTAATTAAGCGGATTTCTAAATGATATTTAAGTTGAAATCGACTTATTAAAAAAGCATGTTCAAGAAAGTGTAATAAATATAAATTTAAAATTACTTTTACAAATTTAAAATAGAATGAAAGTATTATTAAATAAGCAAAGGAGTCAATTAAAAATGAACTATATTAATATCAAGCAAATCAATAAAATATTTGACTATAATAATTTTAAAATTAATTATATATATATATTATATATCTTTAAAATAATTTTCATATTTTTAATTAAATATAATTTATATTTAAACAAAAAATCAAAAATAAATAAATTTAAATATATACGATATATGTTTATTATTTATAAATTTTATTTTGTTTCAATTTTTAGAAGTTATATATTTTTTTATATATATTAATAATATTTAATATTACAATTTATGAATAATAAGAGACGAACTTTAAAAAAGGCTTAGAAATAAGTTTTATCATCGGATAATATTTTAAGATAAAACTTTTTTTCTACGAGATCACTAAATATTCAACCAAATATTGATTTAATTAAAATTAAACAAGAGGCATTTCATCATTTAAAAGCACTAAATATAAATAAAGGAATTCAAGAAATATAAAAAAGTATATTATTAATAAATATTATTTTTGAAATAAATATAAATAAAGTAATAAATTTATATGATAAATCATTTGGCAAAAATTCTTTAGATTTCATAGTATTATTTAATGAATGTCTTTAATTGATGTGTGATATTTCAATGTAAATATTATAAAAAAACTAACATGAAAGTTCTTTAGAAATATTATTAGTTGCTTTAAATTTGACAGATCCATAATTATATTATGAGAGTGTAAAAATCATTAAATATTAATATTCTATGTATTTTTTAGGTCCCTGAAAAACGATTACTTGTGTTAAATAATTTAGGATGCTTATATAGGAGAATGGGAAAACTTACAAAGGCTAAAATATATTTAGACGAAGCTTTAAATTTAATAAAGTTATTTCCGCGAATTAAACACATTGGAATTACATATTTGAATATATGTGCAGTTGCTTCATAAGGTAGTATGCATGAACTAGCTCTAGAATATGCGAAAAATGCAATCACTGAGTGCTAAAGATAGTTAGTTGAATTTTTAGGAGATACGCAAAGAAGATATAACTAACAAGAATTATAAAGCCATGTTAGACACTGTGCAATTAGTTATCATAATATGGGTGTTGAAGAAGAATACTTTAAAAGATATTCGAAAGCTATTGAATATTATAAATAAAGTTTTAAATTATTTGAAGATTATTAATTAAAAGATGATGCTTTATATGAAAAATTTAAAAAGGCATATGGTAAATGTGTAGAAAACAATATTAATAATACTGATGATGAATAGAAAAGAAAATATTAATATAGTAGTAGAAAAAAAAGTGAATAAGGAAATATTTATTACTAAAAAAATAATAAAAGTAAAAGTTATGCTCAATCTAATTATGGAAGTGTTTCAGACAATAGTAATGAATAATTACAATTAAGTGAAATGCAAAAAATAGGGATTCTAGATTGGACTAATAATTCCGAAAATTCGTTTAATTATATATAATAAATATAATTTTATTATTTTATATTTTTTTTAATTGGAAATGTATTATAGTGAAAGTGAGGAGGATTATTTTAATTAACCATAAAGAATTAATTTTTTAAAGTCAATGGATGAATATAATAATTAATATAAAAAGCAGCTTAAATAAGAAGTAAATTAAGAATAATAATAATAATCAGATAAATAATTAAATAAAGTATTACTTGATGAAGAGATTCTTGAATATTACTAAGAAAAAGAAGAAAAACTAGTTTAAATTCAGCGATATGTTAAAAGAAAATAAGCTCAATAATAAGCTTTAAAAATATTAAATGAAAAACGTTAATAAAAATAAGAAGATTTTTAATATAAAAAATAAAAACTTTAATAGCAAATAGAAAATAGAAAAAAAAACAAATTGAATAAAAAATTTAATAGAAAATGAAGAGTAAATTGGGTTAAGCAAGATAAAACCTTTTACAAAATAATTTAGAAAATTAAAATAAAAAAAAGATGATAGCGCTAAATATATTTAGTAAAAATGGAGATAATAATAATAAAAAGTATAATAAAAATAAAAATTGGGTTAAATAAGAAAAAGAAAAATAGCAGAAATTAAAACAGAATAAACTTTTAATGCATGTTAAAAAATTTAAGCTTTTTTAAAAAGATATTAATTTAAATTGTAGCTAAAATTAAAAAAACAAATATAAAATTAAATTTTAATCTATAAATAGATATGCTAATTAAATAATCATAATGAATTTTAATATTAATAAAAAGAATATTTTACAGTCAAATTTTTTGTTGATAAAAACTTATAATAATTACGTATTTACTGCATATAAAAAACTAAAAAATAAAATAATAAGAATATTTGTAGTTTCACAAAAACAATTGAATTATAAAGTTTATAAAGATGTGAAAAAAAACTGCAAGAAATCGGATTTTATTTTAATTCGTTTTAAACTATTTATGAAATAAAGTATTTTTCAATAAAAATATTGCCTTTAATTTATATTGATGAAAAATAAATCAATATAGATGGAATTACTAATATTTAATAATATAATGAGAGTTAAAAATAAATTAATTATGACATTTAATCTATTATTAAATTATAAGCCGTTTTTAGAGGATGCTTATAAAGAAAAGAAATTGAAATGAGAAAAAGAAAAAAGTTTGTAATAACTAAATAATGGATTTTTAAATTATTGGGTTTTTAATCTATTATCAAATTGTATTTAATTTATTCCGAATAAAAAAAATAATATAATATAATAGGAGAAAATTTAACTTTTGGAATTAAATACCATTCTTAACATTTTGATAATTATTTCTTTGAATATTTTAAGGAAATTGATTCTGATATTTTATAAGAAATATTTGATATATAAAATTCCTCTAGTTAAATTTAATATTCAGAATTAGCAAATGCCATACTTGAAAAATATTATCAACCTGAACTCGCGCTTAATAAAGCAAGAAGACCTAAATATATTTCAAACTAGAAAATTATTATAATTTAAAGGTTTTTAAGAAAAAAGTTTATACTTAAATAATATTAATTAACTAAGGAATTAAAAATATAAAAAAATAAGCATTTTTAAGAAGAAAAATTAATATGTAAACATTTATGTATTTATTAATAAATGGTATTTTAAAGTATGGTCACTTTTAATAATTTAAATAGAACTATAAAATTACAATACAAAAAAATAAATAAAAATGAATAACAAATGATTTTATTACATAAATAAACTATTTATAATTAATTTAATTTAAATAAATTATAACATTTTTGTTAAATTTTGTTAAACGAAAGTAAAATTTAAGAAAAAGATAAAAAGCTATTTATTCATAGTATCACTATAGAAGAAGCAATTGCTGGCGTGAAAATTAAAATCAGATAGAGATAAAGCCATAATTTAGATATTTAGGATAATACTATGGAAATAAGGAAAATATTAAATAGATATACATTAAGATAACATATTTTTGAAAAAAGATCTTGTGTAAGTTTTACTTAAATTAATTTGAATTCTCAAAAAAACGTTTTTTATTCAAAAAATGGTGATGAATTTGCTAAAATGATATAATAAAAATTTACTAAATACAAATAAAATAAAATTACAGCTATAATGGAAAATAAAAATGTGGAAAACCACGAAGATTTAAAAAAATAAGCTGAAAAAGTTAAACCTACATCAAATTTGTCTAAATAAATATTGAGTTTTATTGATTTTAACTAACCAGAAGATGATAATTTAGAAAATTTAATGAAAAAGCCAGTATAGTAAGGAAAATTGATAGCATTAGTAATATATATAATTTAAAAAAATATAATAATAATAACAGGATGTATAATTTAATATAGGATAAAAAGGATTTACATTTGATATATATTTAAATGATTAATTTAAAAGTGTAATTTTAGTAGGATTAGTAGAAGAATTTTAATAATATTAAATTAGGAAATTAGTAGTGAATTATTCACTTTTTGCTATGAATGAATGGGACGATGATGTTTTTTGTGAAAATTTTAAGGTATTATAAAATATATTATATTATAAATTAATATTTATTTTTATTAAAAAAAGGATTTACTACTTATTTAATTAAAATATGAAAATAGCAATTTATATTTTGTTGAAAATGTATTATTAAAAAAATAAATTTAGGAAGAAAAGTAAAATAAGGATAAATAGAAAATAGATATTTTTGAAATATAAAAATAACGTATTCTAAATTAAAAGAACTAATCATAAACTGTAAAACTTTTTACAATTAAAAATGGAGAAATTTTTACATTAAATGTAAGTATCCATATTTCTAATTATGCTTTTTTAATTTCTATTATATCTGAATATCAACTTAAACTTATGAAAGATATTTAAATTGAGCTTTAATGGTTTTAATGTAGAAAATTAAAATAGATTATTGATTAAAAAGGTTCTAGTTAGCTAGTTACCTTCTTTTATCCTCTCTTTCAAGAAATTAATAAAATTTTATTAATTAATATTAATGAAAAAAATGAAATATGTGTTCTTAACTTAGATTAAGTTAAATTAAGGATGGATTTTATTATAAGAAATAATTTCATTAAAAAAATATAAAACATATTTTTAGTTTTATTGCAAAAAAAGAGAACTAAATTAATAAAAGAATTTTATAAAAAAAAAGAAATATTTTTAAATAGTTTTATATATGTTACTAATGCAGCATATTTTGATGTAAGATGGTTTTTATTAAAGGAGTAATATGAACTAAAGCTAATTGTTGAAAAATATCCTAAGAAATGTAATAAATACATGAAAAAAGTATTATTTTTATTTACAAAAGCAAAACATTTGTTTAATATAAACTAAAATAATTTTATTTATTTTTTAGGTTTGTTGTATTGATTTATTATAACTCTAATAAAATTATTAATATAGTAATAATAATGAACCTATTCCTGAATTTATGTTAAATAATCAGGTTTATATAAAATAAAAAAATATATAAATAAAAAAAATTAAATTTAATTATAGTGGTCTAATATATAAGGATTTTTTTAAAAAAGCTATTATTAAAAAATATTTAGTGAATTATTATAATATTTACAATAAAATTTGATCATATAAATATAATTTAACTCAAAAGTTGATGTTTAAATTGGAGAAAGTAGAGTACCATTTGTAGAAATGAAAGAAAACACAAACTAGAATGATGAATATACAATAGCTAAAAGAATGGCAGCTTTAGATCGATTTTATATTATTGCTCAATCAGTTACTTGTGTTCAAAAAGCATATAGAAGATTTAAAAAAATGGAATGGCATACTACAAAAAAAATAAGATTAAAAGAATAAGAAAAGCAAATAAAAAATTTTGGATTAAGAATTAAAAGAGCATTTAAAAGTATTTAATAAATTATGTATATTGCTAATATATATTTGAAAAATAACACATTTACTTTTGAGCTTGTACCATTTTAAAATAGAAAAGAACGTATTTTATAAAAATTAAAATAAACTTATTTTTTAAAAATTTTTAAAAAAAAGAAAACTAAAAATTAAGAGTTTAAATATAATATAATGAAAATAACCTTTACAATTTAAGACAAAAGACTATTTCTGAATATTTTTTGAATTAAATTAAAATAGAAAATGACTCAATAGTTTTTAAAGAAACAGAGTTTATTTAATTAAATAATGAACGATAAGAATTAGATGAAATATAAGAAATATAAGTAAAAATAAAAATTATTTTTAATTTTATTTCTAAACAAAAATATTTATAGAAATATAGTTTCTAATAAATATAATAATAATCATAACATTCTCTTTAAACATAGTCAAGTTCTCATAATATTTAATTAATTTCTGATATTTCGGAAAAAGCTAATATTTCAAATATAGTAGATTACACTTTATGTGAACAAAATGGAAATAAAAATATTTATAATGTTATTTATACAGGATTTAAACCAAATTAATATATGCCCCAATAATAATAAGAAAAAGAATTATAAGAAAAACAACATTTAGTTAGAATTAATGTTGATTTGACAGAATTATAAAAAAACTATCCGAATATGTATTCTAAATCCCATGGATTAATGAAAAACATTGGAGAATAATTAATATAAAGTATAAAACTAGGCAAAGATGGTAATATACTGCTTGATTAAAGCAAAATTAACAAAAACTGTATAAAAGTTGCTAATAATTTCGTAGATGTTGATATGTTAGATCCATATTAAAGTACCTAATTAATACAAAAAGAAAAAGACATATTTAATGATAAAAAGAAAATACTCTTAAAATCTAGTAGATTTTTTTAAAAAAATAAATATTTAATAATTATTTACTTAATTGAGAGAAAGATAAAAAAAATTATATAAAATTAACTTGATGCTGTTTTTGAAGAATTCGAAGTCTTTTATTAAATAAATTGTACTAATATAAGTGATTAAGTTTAATAAAATAGTGTTAATTGGGATATAACGCCTGAAGAAATCGAAATAATTTCTGATGGACTTAGAGATAGTATCCAGATTGCAAGATTTTTGATGAAAAGAGTATAAGTATTTAATTAAAAAATAATATTTTGTGTTAAAAATAAAGAACATTAAGAATTACTAAGAAATAATCCAAATGTGATTATATTTTTTGAATAAGTTTTAATTCCTATCTAGGTTAGTTTATTTTATATATAATTAATTTTTTTATTTTTATTTTTGTTCGAAAGAAACATTTTAGAAATAGAAAATATGTTAAAAATTATAAAAATTATAAATAAGAAATGATGGAAATATAAAGTAGAATTATACATAAATTCATTCCTAAAGAACTAAAAAGTTTCACATCATATTATATTTTAGTCTGTATTGATAATAATTCTTCTGATAGAATGTGGGAATTTATAGCATGGGATATGTTCACGTTTTAAAGGTACTCGAATAAGTTTTCTAAGGATTTGTTTGAACCATATTATTCTGATTTTGGTATTTAAACTATAGAAGCTATAGCAAAATTTTTAGATATAAATACAAATGGATAAGATATTTATATGAATTAAGGTGTTATTGCATATTTGGAATAACTAAAAGAAGATTAATTTAAATTAGTAAGATAATAAAAAAATAAAAATTAATATTGAAAAAACCTTATTATATTTTTATTTTATCATCAAAAATCTTAAAATAATTATATATTCTCTTATGTTATAAAAAATGCAAATATTAAAAATTTTTAAGTTTTTAAATTCAAATTATGCTTTAATAAAAGTAATTATAGAAAAATTTTAGGATTTTTAATATCTTATTTATTTTTATATTAATTTTACTATAATATTTTATTTAATAATAAAATTATATTTTCAATTTATTTTTATTATGATTTTTAAAATTTAGTATATTTATTTGCAAAAGTTTAGCATATTTAAAACAAAAATAGAAAAGTTAATTTTAATTTTAGAATATAATCGGTATAATATCTATGCAAATATTATATTTTTCATAATTATTAATAAGAAATTTGTTATTATTATTTATAAATAAAAAATTAAAGAAAAATATTAGATTTGTTATTTTTTTATATTATTAAATATAAAATTGATTAAAAATAATATGTAATAAAAATAAATAATTTAAAAAAATATATATATAGTTAATTATATATAAAATAATTAACAACAGAAGAGTGAAATTTATGATTCAATATAATTCAAATAAAAATAGAATTTATAAAAATATAAAATAGTAAAATAAAATAAAATTAAATTTAATTTAAATTAAATTAAATTAAATTAAATTAAATAATATATATATTATAATATAATATATTAAAAAATGTAATAATTATTGAAAAGTTAAGCTTCAAGTCATTTTTTATTTATAGATTATTTAAACGATTGCATATAATTTTTCTTATTTTATTTACTATATTACTTTTTATCTAACCTTTTTTTGTGGCATAAGCAAAAAATAATTATTTTTAAATATTTTTAAATTAATTATATTTAATTCACTAATTTTAATAATAAAGTTCAGCATAAGATTTAGTGTAAATTGATGCATATAATTTTTATAATAATAAAGGAACTAAGTTTTTACCGTATTGATATAGAAAAAACTATTTATTTATTTTTTAGATAATTAAAATTATTTCTATTAATTTTTTTATTATTTATATATGAAACTTAAAATCTTAAATTATTAAACATATTTATTAAATAATATAAAAAAAATTTATATATTATTTGTATTAAATTAATGCATAATGTATAATGACCATTTTTTTATTTTTGATTGAATTTTAAAATAAAAAAGCTTATACGCACTGTTACTAAAATAATAATTTTTATTAAATATTTAATTTTTTTATTATAAGAATATAAAGTAAAATAAAAATTAACAACAATATAAAATAAAAAATGAATTTGTTAAAATCATATTAAAATAATAAAATATTACAAAAATAATAGCAAGGATAATTCTTAAAAAATTCAGCTTAATAAATAGGCTAATAAAAAATTAGTGATAATTTAATAAAGAAAATAAAGAGCAAAATAGAGCAAAGTAATATGAATTAAAATCATAAAATTGATTTTGGGTTATTTAAAAAACTTACTACAAATAACTTAACAACATCAAACAAACAAATAAATAGATTAACTTCAAACAAAATAAATTCAGCAAAACAGAGTCCTTAAAGATTATAAAATTAATAAAAAAGCTATAATAATTTTTCCTTGTAGTAGTAGAAAAAAACTAATTTAAATATTTAACTTTCAACAGATCAATAAGTTCAAAATACTTGTATTAAAATAAATGAAACTGTTTAAAAGAAAATATAAGATTTGTAAACTAAATAACTTTAGATAAATGAAGAAAAGTAAGAAAAATAAATAAATTAAATAAATTAAATTTTTCAAATAGTATAAATTCGGAATCATCAATTGTTTTGTATAAAAAAGAATCACCTTCGAGTCATAGATTTTAAAGATAAAAATCAATATTTTTCAATAAGTTAGAAGAAGAAGAAGAAGAAGTAGGTGAAAATATAAATATTTCTTAGAAGCTACCACTAGTATCTCCTAAAAAAGAGACTTAAAAATCTTCGTTTTAACGATCTAATACATTAAAATTTACCTAAACGGACTCTTCTCCAAGGAATAAATTTTTATTTTTAAATGAAAAATAAAAACTAATATTTTAAAATATTGCATAAGATTGCATTCCTAAAGAATCAAACGAAAATATAAAAACATATTTACGATTTAGACCAAATAATTAAGTAGAAATAGACCTTAATAATACAAGTTTAGGTTAAAATATAATTGAATTTATAAATTAGCAAACAATAAAAATATAAAATGATTAATAATAAACATATATTGTTGATAAAGTTTTTTAGCCAGACGCTACTTAAGTAACATTTATTTTTATTATAATATATTATTTATTTAAAGGCTTAATTATATGAAGAAATTGCTCAAGAAGTTGTTAATGATGTACTTATTGGTTATAATGGTACTATTTTTGCATATGGAGTTTCGGGAAGTGGAAAATCCCATACTATGTTTGGAAATATGTACAATCCTGAATAATATGGAATTATTCCTAGAATGAGTAATTAATTATTTGGAAAAATACAAAATTAAACTGAATTAGATATCGAATATACTATTAAATGCTCAATGCTTGAAATTTATAAAGAAAACTTACACGATTCGCTAAATTTAGAAGTAAAACATGAATTAAAAATAAAAGAAACACCTTAAAAAGGTATTTACGTTTAAGGATTATCTGAAAAAATTATTAAAAACGAATAAGAACTTGTATAAATCATAGAATATGGTTATTCTAATAGATAGACAAGAGCCACTAGATTAAATGAATACAGTTCTCGATCACATACAATTTTTATGGTTTAAATAACATAAAAACTAATTAATGGAACCAAAAAAATTGGAAAATTAAATCTTATTGATTTAGCAGGTTGTGAAAAAGTATCAAAAAGTGGAGCAGTAGGTGAAGGATTAGAAGAAACTATTAAAATAAATTTATCTTTGAGTTGCTTAGGTTTTTTTTTGTTTTATTAACTTTTTTGTTTTTTTTTATATTTAAATTTATAAAGCCAAAGTTATTTATTCTTTGACTTCAAATTAAGATCATATACCTTATAGAGATTCTAAATTAACAAGGATTTTATAAGAATCATTAGGAGGAAATTATAAGGTTTAATAAATTTTATTTAAAATAAATAATAATTTTTTTAAAAAAAGACTTCTCTTATTGTTACTTGTTCAACTCATTCGAAATTTCTAGATGATACCATTTCATCTTTAAAGTTTGCGGCTAGAACAAAAATAATAAAAAATCATTTTAAAGTTAATTTAATTCATTCTTAAGAATCACTAAAATAGCAAATAGATTTTATGAAATAGGAAATAGTTTAATTCAAAAATACATATTAAAAAATTAAAAATGTAATTGCTAATGCAAGATAAGATTTAAATTATATCCCAGAATTAAATTCTAAATCTATTAAAATTGAAAACATTAAACAAGCTTTTGATACAGTTTTAGATAATTAAAATAATTCCTATAATTTTACTTTTTAAGAAATAAGTTAAAGTGGAAAATTTAATATTGGAAATTCAGAATTCATTAATCCTGATTAAAATTAACTTTTAAATAAAATAAAATTTAAGGAAGATCTTATTAATTAATAAAAAATTAATATAAGCGAATTAGAAGAAAAATAATAATAATTAATTCAAGAAAGTTTTTAACTAAGGAAAGAAAGTATTAAAATATCTAATAAATATAATGATATGCTTAATCAAAAAAATAACGTTTAAGTTCTTTATTCAAAATAAGTATCTTAGAATGATTTTAATAAATTTAAAATGGAAATTATGTAAAAATAAATATAAAAACTAATAGAATAAGTATGCAAATACGAAAAAACAAATGGAAATTTATTAACAGAAAATAAATAAATTTATGAATAGAAAATTGATGATTTACTTAAAAATAAGCTTAGTATGGCTGAAGTTAAGCTTTCTGAGTATTTCAAAAATAATATGAATTTCGATTTCAATGTTTTTATTTTTAAATTAAATAAAATAAAAATTTACATTACATAAATTAATAAAAAAAAAGATAAATAAAGATACAAAAAAAATATCAATATCTTTATAAGATGATGAAGATAGTGATTTTTACAGCGATAATATTTCTTAATAGTTTTTTGAGTTAACTTTTATTTTAAATTTAATTTTTATTATTATTAAAGAAAAGATCATAATGCTGAAATTTTAAAAAAAGTTATTGAATTTCCAACTAAAATAGATGAAGCTGCATCAAAAGATCCTATTTCTTAAGATTTTATTATAATATAGTTAAAAAAACAACTTATAAAGTTAGAAAAATATATGATTAGTCATTTAATTAAATATATATATATATATAAAAAAATATATTTTTAGTTCTCATATAATAAATTAAAATTTACTAAGAATTATTAGTGCTTTAGAATGGAAATAAATAATTGATTATGGAAAGTAAAGATTTAAAAGCAATTTATTAAAAATCTAAGTTAAACATATAAAAAACATGGAGAAAGTGATGGATGAATGCATTTAAAACAGTAAATAATTAAGGATGAAAATAGAAGATTTTGAATTAGAAGTTTATATGAATAATAAAGAAGTAGTAGACGAAAAAAAAGTTAATCGAATATTATCTCCAAGTCTATAAAAATTTAGTCCTTCATATTCAAATAATCTTTAAACTGATACATATAATAATATAGGAGAAGAATTGAAACAATGTAATTAATAAAATAAAAATATTAAAATATATTTAAAAAAAAGAAATTCAATAAGTAAGCAAAAATGTAAATGTTATGCCTTTAACTTATGAAAACGCAATTAAGGATTTAATTTAAAGAAATGATTTATTATAAAAATGCTAAAGAAATATAAGTAACTAATAATATTATAACAATTTATATGTTCGTAATAAAAAATAGAAGAATAAGAAAAAAATTAATTAAAAGAAATTTAAAGGCTTCAAAGTAAAGTTTTAATGTTATAATAAGAATATGCTATGGAATAAGCTAAATCAGAATCTTACAAAGAAGCACTTTAAGTTGAAAGAATAAATTTAGATAATTTTAAAAAACTTAGTGAATAAATGGAAATATCTTTGAGAAATAACTTAAATGAAGAAAATTAAAGTTGGTAAAACACAATTAATACAATTAACGAATAAAATAAAAATTAAATGATAAGAATATAGTAAGAATATAACTCATTAAATAAAATAATAAATGATATTATTGAAAAATAATTACATAAGTTGTTATAATTTAAAAAATTATTTATTTATATTAATATAAAATAGATTTGATGAATTTTAAAATAAATTTATATCTATTCCATTAAGTGAAATCAACTTAATAACTTAAGAATTAATTAAATATAAAAAAACTGTAAATATTTCATATTAGAATACAGAAAGTGGCAAAAAGAAAAAATCATAACAAAGTATTAATGATGTAAATAATAATTTGAAAAAATCTTTAGTCAATATTATTTAATGATTTTTTATATATTATAAAAAAATATATATTAATAAAAAAAATTGTTGATAAAAAATGTTAAATTATAACTATTAAAAAGTTAATATTAAAATAAAAAAAAAAAAATTTACAAAAAAATATAATTTTTATAAATGTATAAATAAAAAAATTATATACTTTTTAAAAAAGAATTTGTTAAAAATATATTTATTATCTAATAATTTACAAATAAAAAAAAATTTAAAAAATAAAAATTATCAATATTAATTTAGTGCAAAATACTTAGACCAATTATTATTAAAATAATAAAAATCAAATATATATGAAAATTAATAATTTAAAAAAAAAATATATATTAAATTAAATTAAATTAAATTAAATAAATAAATAAATAAATAAATAAATATATAAATAAATAAATTTTTAAAATTATTATTCAATTATTTAATTTTTTTTTTTTAATTAATAATTTTTTTTTATTTAAAAAACTAATATTTTTCTCTAATTTTTATAATAATTTACTTGTTTAAGTTTAATAATCTTTTATATTTTTTCTTTTTATTTTTTTTTTTTTTTTTAATTTAATAATTTTTTTCTTTTAATTAAAATAAAAAAAATAATATTTACTATTTATTTTATATAAAAATTATTTCTATTATAAAATTAATTTTTATTTTATATTATAAATTATTTATATGTTTTATCTTTTTTTTCTTATATTAGTTTTTTTAAATCAATATTTAATTTTTTATTTATTAAAATCGAAAAAAAAGAATTTTAATCTTAATTTTAATATATATATTAATTTTTATATTTAATATTTTTTATCAATTTTATTTTATATGTATTTTAATATATAATTTAAATTTAATTTTGTTTAAAATTTTATATTTTTTTTAATATATATTATTTAAATTTATAAATTATATAAATTCTATACAATTTGTTTATTATTTTTTAATTTTAGAAATTAATATTTCATTTATTCTTTTTTTTTATTTTAATTTTAAATTTAAGAAATTTAATTTTAATTATTAATTAATTTTTTTTTTAAATATTACTTATTTTTTTTTTTTTGTTTTTAATTTTTTTTTGGTTTTTAAAATATTTTTTCACTATCAATTTATAAAATATTTAATTATGCTTTTTTTACTCGTCTTTTTGTATTAGATATTTTAAATAAAAACTGCATAGAAAAAAAATCAATTTATAATAATATAAAATGTTATTATAATATATATATCGATAGTAAGCTCCTACCCATACATACTTCCATATTTTTTATAATTTCAAACCATTTTTAATTCTGAAAATTCATATAATTTTCAAAATTTAAAATTGCGTTATATTCTTTCTGCTAATATAGTATAAAATTAATAATTTATTTTTATTTATTACCAATAAAATTAAAATTTATTGTTATTTTCCTTTGTATTTTATGAGTAGATGAAAAAATAATATAAATATGTATAGACAAGTTTACTACATTTTTCAAATGAATTTTCTATTATATAATTCAATATAATATTTTAAATAAGCAAATTGGTTTTTTAAAATATATGGAAAAATTTTTAAAATCATAAAAACATAAAAGTTATTCACCATTATTAATTTTGAAATTAAGTAAAAATTTTAATATTTAATCATTTTTTATAATTAAAATTACATAAATTAATAATTTAAAAAATCTGATTTTTATTATATTTTTAAATATTTTGATTGATAAGTTTTATCAAGACTTTTTTGCAAATTCTTTTCAAAAATTAAAAATTAGATGTTTTTACTGTTATTGATTAAAATAATATATTATCCCTATATTTTATAGGAATATAATAACAAATAAATGACAGATGAACTTAACTAATGATTAGTATATAATTATTTTATTTTAAACTTGAATATAATTTCTTGTAAGTAAGAAAAATGCAAAAATAATATTTTCATACTAAAAAGGCCAATAATTAAGATTTTCATATTAATTAAATCAAAAAAATTTGATTATTTTATAATAAAAAAAATAGAATTTAGTTAATCACTATATAATTATATAAAAATTGTTAATTAAAATAAAATTGTAGTAATATGAATTTATTTTATCATTACTAAAATAAATTTAATTTTTATCCTTTTTAATTATAAAAAAATAAAAATATAAATACAAATACAAATGACTATTGCTTTTTTTGCATAAAGCTTTCCTAAAATGAATTATAACGGTTAATATAACCGAATGTTTGGATTTTTATAAAATTATATCAAAAACGGAGATTAAGTTTTTTTGTGACACCACAAAAAAAGATAAAAAAGAATATTCAAGATATATAAATTTATTCAAATACTAAATTATATTCAATTGATCCATCAAATTATGATGCTATGGATTAGTTTTTAAATAAAGAATTAAAAAACTCATTAGAAATCGCAATTTTCGATACCTATTAATCAGAAGAATAATATTCACATTTTATTCATAGAAGATTTCCAAATTGCTTTAAAATATTGAATTTATATAAGTTTTAATTTTTGTATAATATAAGAAAGTAAATAGTGGTGGAATAAAGTGAAAATTAAGATTATTAACTAAGAAATATTTAATATAAATTTAAATTAGGAAGCTTTAGAAAATAATAATGAATTAGAAAGAGAGTTAAATAGTATAAATAGAAGCGATATGGCTATTACTAGTAGTGATTATGAATACCTATTATTAAAAAATAATTTTAATATATAAAATATTGAATTACTAACATTTTTTTATTAAACTCCTTAAAAAATTGATAAAAAACTTATAAACTTTAATAGGAGAAAGAACTTTTCATATATTTCTAATATAATAAATGATCATAATTTAGATTAATTAAATTTTTTAGTAAAAAAAGTATGGCCTGGTATATAAAAGTAATTACCTGAAGCATAATTGCATATATTTGGATCTGCAAACAATTAAGAGTTGAATAATTTATAAAATATCAATATATTTTAAAGAGGTTATATTGAAGATATAGATAGACTTTAAAGATATAAAGTTATGCTAGTGCCAACAAGGTATATATTAATATTTTATTAAAATAATTATTTATTTATACATTTTTTTGATTCTATTAGATACAATTCTGGAGTATAAAATAAAATTATAGAAAGTTGGAATAATTATACTCCAGTAGTCACAACTCTTATAGGAGCTGAAGGAATGTTTTATGATTCTACTTATGAAAAAATATATGCAAATATAGATGAAAATTAATATACTTTTAAGTTAATTTATTTTAAATTTCAATTTAATTTTTAAGAATATTTTAAAATAGAGAAATGCTTTTAGAATAAACGGAAGAAATGAAAACAAATTAATAAAAAATGATTTCTTATTATTAATATAAAGATATTAAACAGAGTTAGTTTGTACCGAGATTTGGGGGATTATTTTAGAATTAGAATGCAGGTGATTTAATAGAATCTGCAATTGAATTATATACAAATCAATCATTATGGGAAAAGTATGTTTAGGAAGGCATAAAATATATTCTAAAGAAGAATGGGATTCAAAAGAAATAATCTTATATTTGAAATGAAATTTAATGAATTCTTAATAAATTATAAAACTTAATATAGAAAAAAAGGCTAATGGGCAAATTTATGGAATTAAAGATTGAAAGAAACATAATCATATGATTTGCTTTAATTATAAAAAATCAAAATCAAAAAATAAAAATGATTTTAATTTTAATATTTTAATACCATATTTGTTTCATATTTATATACCACTAGAAACTTAATTGTAAAATTAATAATATCATATTTTTCAATTTAATTTATATTTATTTTGATATTTTGGAATATAATACAGAAATCTATTAAAAACATATTATATCAAATCTATTTAAAAATTATTTTATATATATAAACATTTATTACCTTAAACAATCGATAGTATTTACTATGCTTCTTGTATTTTAAATACTTTAATATATCCATAAAAAAATAAGCCATCAATTATAATCCATAACATTGAAAGAAATGAAATATTTACTATTAAATATGAGAAAATATATAAAACTAATATAGCCTTTAAAAACATTAATTTTAAACTTTTTTATATATTATTATATTTTATACTTAAATAATTTAATAAATATATTTATCTGATTATTCTTCTAAATACTTAAATACATTATTCTTTAACAATATTATTTATACTATAAGTTTTTAAATGGTTTCTTATTGAACATATATAATATTATTCGATTCTTCATTTTCGCTTTAAATATATTATTTTCGTTTAAAAAATATTTTTGTTTTAAAATTTTTACTCATCTTCTTTATTTAATAAAAACTAAACTAATTACAAATATATAATAGTAAAAATTGTAGATGTTAATGCAAAGTTAAGTAAAAATGAAAATATTTCACATTATTTTTTATAAATAGAAAATAATAAAACATTAAAAATTAAGATAAATGATAAAGTAGAATTTATATTTTTCCAATAAAATACAGATGGTAATTCTATAAAATAAATATTAATTTATTTAATAAAAAAAATGTTAAACCTAAAGAAAAACTAATATTCATATAATAAAATATTTTTAGTATTATATTAAGAAATTTAATATTTATTATATAAAATAGAATAAATAATAATAATGATGAAATAATGAAAATATTATTATTAAAAATTAATAATATACAAATATTATTTAGTATATTAATTAAATATACAAAATTATTTTTCTTAATTAAAATATTTATTATTTTTTCAATTATTTTATTGTTTTTCCATCTCTTATTTATTAAATCCAGGTACAATACCTATTGGCACAAAGTTTATTTTATTAAATTTCATTTATCTTTTTACATATTTTTCAAGGCTATTACAATCAGTATAATCTTTTCTTTTAATATAAATCATATAAAATATTAAATGGTATAAATTGTGTTGAAGATAAATATGGTATTCCCAACCTTCTTCCAAAATTCCATTTATAGTATTTTTATTAATTCCCTTTATATAAAAATTTTAAAAATATAAAAAATTATTTTAATACACAAACAAAGCAAATGTTTTGAATTTCTTATTAAATTTAATCGTTTTTCTATCTCAATTCCCCAAATGTATCTAATATTATACCAAAGAATATTTAAATAAACAATGTTTATATAAAAATATAATTTGTTAAATCAAAAAAATATCTTGACCAATAGCCTTAAACTTCTTATGAATATGCCATAGGTTTTAAAGCTTCTGATACACCTCCACCATTTCTTAGAGATTCTTTAATTGTAGAAGTAACAGTTAAAATAAAAGAATCGCTATAAGCATGATGAGTTTCATCATAATAATCTTTGAAAGAACTGTATGCCCATATTCCATAAATATACATAATAATACATCCTAAATATGAAAAAAGGAACAAGTTCTTTAAATTTCTAGTAATTGATTTAATTATATTTTATAAACTTGAACTTCTTTTAATTATATCTAATAACAATAATCCGTATATTAATGGACCTTTGCTATTAAAAGCAACTAAACTAAAAACGAAGAAGAAGAGGTTGTACATATTTTAATTATCAATAACAATAAAAAATGTGTATTAAATAAATTTAAAATATTTATTTTTTATTTAGTCAGGCTTAATAATTTCAAATATTAAAAATAAATACCTATTATCATATTAAAATTTGTAAAAATCATATATGTGTATATATATATGTAAATTTATATATAAATATATAAATATATATATATAATATATATAAGTTAATATATATTTATATATATATAAGTTAATAATTATTTTTATTTATATTACATTTATATCTATATTATATATATATGTATATTTTTATTTTACTTTTTAAATTATGAAAAATTCGTTTCCATTACTAATCCTGCATTTTATTTTAATTATTATATTTTAAATAAAGAATCACTCTTTTAAAAATAATTTAAACATATTTAAAATCTTTATAAAGCAACAAATATAAACACATAAACTGCTAAAACTAATTAAAATATCATTAAAATAAAAAGGGCTAGATTATATTATGTATAATTATTATCAGCTATTGGGTCAGAAACATAATAAAAAATTTCTTTTTATAAAATTTATATAATTAATAATTTTAATTTCTTTATTTCTTTACATAATCCATTTATTCCAATTAAAACATAATATTATATATCTTTTATGGATTCTATTAATTTTATCAGAATTACAATTATCTTTTATTATTTATTTAAAAACAAAAAAATAATTTATTTTGATTTACTTTAAAACTTGATATTTTTTAATAATAACTCATTTAATCCTAATAAAATTAAACATTTTCAATTAAAAATGCTAATCTATCTGTATTAGATGATCTGTCAGATTAATAAATCTTTTTATTTTATAATAAATTAATTATATTTTTATAAAAAATACTATATGCTCTTTAATGTCTTCAGTTAAAAAAAAGAATAATGAAGGTTTTTGAAACAAAACTTTCTACCCTTCTCCTTATTCGTTAATAATATGAGTAATGCCCAAATATTTTTTAAAGTATTAAAAATAACTATTTTTATATCTTAAATTTTAATAGTCGTATTTACTACTAATACATTTAAAATCATCTGTTTTCGCTTTTTTGTTTCTTGTATTCTAAATTTTGAAATTTTTACTCTATAAATTTGATGTATATTCTTTATCAATTTATTCTTTTGTAAATCCAATTTCGTCTATAACACTTTTAATAGTTAAAAAATTATCATTAAGTGTGTTTTTAGCATTGATTTGGTTACTTTTTCTTTGAGTATCATCTAAAAATTAAAAATCTTCTTCATTAAAATCTTATTTTTTGCCGTCTAAATATGTAAATAATTTAAATCTTGGGTCATCCGGAGAAGCATCGTATAATAAGCAAAACAATATATATATTTAAGATCCTGTATCTTGAAGCTATCTATCCAAAGATGTACAATATCCTTTTTTACATATTTATTTATTACAACCATATTTATCGCCACATTCACAATTAAGATCAAGTTTGAGCTTATCCTAAATAAACTTAATTCTATTATTATAAATTTTGTGCAAAACCAATAACAAATCTTAGCACATAATAAATTAAATAATATTATTTAATGATTCTTTATATTAATTAGCTTCAGCCATTGAGTATAAGAATTTTATACAAAGACAGAACAGATCGATACTTAACATATTATCTTAAACTTATTTAGGTGATAAGTTATTTTTTTTAGAAAAATCTATTTTTTAATTTATTATTCTTAATTGAATTAATGTTAGTAGTTTTGTATTTTCACCTTTTTTTTATTTTATATTTTTTAATATTTTTTAATTATAAAATTACATATTATTCGTTTGTTTTCCTCAGATCCTGTACAAAAATCTATTAATGTATTAAATGCTTAACATATTAAATCGGACTTTGAAACAGTATCTAAAATTCGATCTTCAAGTATTAAAGAAAGGAAATTATTAACTTCTAAAATTAAGTTTATATTTGGTTCACCGAAAATATTAGTATTATTTTAAACTCGAATAAAATTCTAAAATTTATGGTTTACGTTTTCACAAAATAATTATAAAATTCTTAATATTAATATGGATTGTATTTCAAATTAAGTTTTTTTTTTTATTTATGTATATTAAAGTTAACTTATTTAAATCAAGTTTTTTGTTAAATCATTCAATAATAGTTTTTTTATAAAAAGGAAAAATTCTTAACATATTTTTTGCTCTTTTTATAAATAATCAAGGATTAAATTTTGATTATGCTTTTTTATATAAAAAAATTATATTCTTTCTTTATTTTTATTTTTTTTACAGTATTTCCATAATTTAATATCTGAATTAAAAACTATAAATTTTCTATTATATAATTACATTTATTATTCCTTAATTAATTAATTGCTATTTTATAAATACCTTACTAAGCAATCTTTTTATTATTAAATTTTTTAATTATAAGAAGAATATATTAATTTTGATTTTTTTAAATATATATTTTACTATTGTTTAAAAATTATGATATTAATCAATTTTATTTTTTGCATCATTTACAATTTTTATATCTTTATTGATTTAATTTTCTATTATATTCATATTTATTTATTTTAACTCAAGTAATATTCTCATAAATTTAATTAAAGTTTTCTTTTTTAAAAATATATATATATATATAGAATATGATCATAAAATACTGATTTATTAGAAAATATTTATGAATTTATTTCTATAAAAGATTGTAAATTTTATAAAATATTGTAATCTCTTATATATTCCATTAAAATATGTGTAATAAAAACATCTTATAAATCAGATTAAGTATCAGAAGAATCATTAAATTATAAATAATCATTTTATTTATCAATTATAACCCATATTTTTTTTAAATCTAAACTTGACTATTTTTGAAGTTTTAAAAGAGAAAGTTACTATTTTAAAAATATAAAAATAATTTTTTTTTACAATTTATATTTTTATTACTCTTATTTTATTTATATCAATTATTTATCCTTTTTAGTTTTTACTTTCTGTTTCAGTATAAATATCTAAATTAATATCCTCTAATTTATTATTATAATTAATTATAGGAATCTCTAAATAATGCTATAATTATTTAATTATATATTTATTTTTATTTTCTATTAGATTTTATTAACTCATTTAATTAGTTTAGCTGTTTTGGGAAATTATTTTTTCAACGAAATTTTAAACATTAGAATATTATAGACTCGTTTTGTAAATGCTTAAAAATTCATAAAATATTTAGTAGTAATTAATTTCGAGTTTATTTAAAAGGATAATTTTATTCTAGAGATATTCGTATATTATATCAATATTTATTTAATTTTTTATCATAATTATTTTTATTTGATTTAATGTTTTTTTGAAATCTGTTAGTTATTTTTATAAATCATCTAATTATTATTAATTTATAGCATTTCTATCTAATTCATATGAAAAAACTTTTTTATTTTATATATTGATTAAATTTATGAATCAATTATTAGTTATTTATAAATTTTTTTTTTTAAAAAAAAGATTAATTTTATATTAAAAAAAATACAATAAAACACATAATATTTATATTATACCTAATTCATCTGTTACTTAACAATAAATTTCTTCCTATAATATTTATTTTAACCATTTTAAAGTATATAAAAATTCTTGAATTTCTTATTTTTAAACGATTTCGTTTTATAATTCTTATAAAAATTTATCTAACTCTGTTACTTTTTTATTTATTACCTCAAAAATTTTTTATAAAATTACATTCTTTTCTATAATTTCGATTTTATAATTATCGTATATACTTACTATAAATTGTATTATTCCATTCTTCATTAAATATTTCCAATATTCGTTTTCATCGTAAATTATGTTATAAGATGGTTTCCTTTTTATATAATTGTTTTTATGTATATTTATATTTATTTACCTTTATATCTAATTAAAATGCTATTTTCCTATTTAGTTTATTTTCTCCCTTTACTAAATTAGGATCTTTTTTTTTATTTCATCACTTTGATTTAAATTTATAAGACCTTATACATAAGTGTATAAATTGTCTATATTTAACAAAGGAATTATTTATAATTATAATATTTCAATTAATTATTATTCCTCGAAAAAATAATTTTCTTAATAATCATTATTATTTGAAAAGTATATCTCATAAATAAACTTTAAGTATGCTCTTTTTAACAAAAAAGGAGAGTTTTCATAAAATAAATTGGATTTTAAATCATCATACATAACAATTCGTTTGATTTCTTCAATTCCAGATTTATAGTTTTTACAACAATGTGAAAGTAATTAGATACCTTTTATATGTAACTTAATCCTATAAAACTATTATTTATTAGTAGAAAATTATCTATGAAATTAAGATAAATACTAATATGAACAAGGTTTAACAATAAAAATCATTAGTTTATAAGTTAAAATATTATTTAAAATGAACTTTTGATTAATTTCAATACTTTAGTTATATTAATTATATGTAAAAAATTTCAAAATTTTAATATACTACAGGATACAGAAAAGTTTTTATACCTCAAGATTGTTTTAGTTACATTTTACATGATATTCTTGTAAATTTTTAAAGGGAGAACTTTTATTGATTTGATTAAAAATTATATTTATTTATTCTTTTATAATAGTGTGATTATTTTTGTATTCAGTAAGCAACTCAATACATAATCTTGATATCTTTTAAAAATATAATTCGATATGTTTTTAATTTTTAAAAGAATAATATAAATATATTTTAATTTTACATTAATTGGTTTATCCAAATTTATATTATTTAATTGATCAACTAATTCATAAGCAACTTCTTCTGGTTATTGTAGAGCCTGTGGAATTTACAAAATTTATTATAAAAATGGAAGGATTTCACTTTTATTTCTTGGATTATCTTTAATAAAGAGATATAAAAACTCAATAATAAGGATATACAAAATTTTAAATTTTCCTTAAATTTGATCAAAATTTTAGATAAAGATAAGTATGTTTTTGTGAAAGCCGAAATTTCTTAAAATATT